GCGGCGGGCCCCCAGCCACTGCAATTCTTTCCCAGCCCTGCACTCACCTGCAGGGGACAGTTCACCTCCTCGGCAGCACACTCCAGCCGCCTCTTGACCGTGTCCATGTTATGGTTCTCAGTCAGGAGCCGCTCCAGCTCGTAGCCCAGCTCAGACTTCCAGAAGCCAATGTCTGACAGCCTCTGGCTCAGGTTCCGGGAGGTCCCCTCCTGCATCTGGCGCGTCAGCTGGTCCTTATCTTGCATGAGCCGCATGGAGTCGCCCGTCAGCCGGCCAGCCCACAGCCGGGAGGCCTCAGCCCCACGCACCTGCAGCTGGTTGGATTTGTCCCAGTCCTGGGGGCTGTAGCGACAGAAAAGCGCAGAGCGGAGTGCTGGCAGGATGGTGGGTGGCCTCAGTGCGCTGTGGCACTCATCTGGACAGGGCTGGGCATTGGAGATCCTGTAGAAGAGGCTGGGTCTCCAGCAGTTGAGGTAGCGGTACCCTGGCAGGTAATAGGGCTGGTAGGTCTCCTGGATTATCGGATCCTGTATAGCTGCCGGCAGCGTGGTCAGACCACAAGGTTTCTTGGGGCCACAGTAACTGGCAGTCTGAGTGGTTCCAAGAAACTCCATCTTCCTCCGTCAGTCGCACTAGGGCCAAACTCTGCCCAAGGGGTAAAGGCATCACCAGGAAAGGAGAAAGGGTTTCTCTTAGGGGCTGGCAGGACCTCTATGACTCAGCACTGGTGTCACAAAGCCTGGGGGAGAGAGGCTCTTATCACTTTCAGGCCAGCCAGGACCATGTTGTCCAAATCACAAAAGGTGAAATCCAAAAGTCAACAATGTGAATGTGAGTCTCACAACCTGCAGATTTGGGATGCAAAAACAAAACTAAACAAACAAGATGAAAACAAACAAAAATAAACCACTTTAAAATCTGTTTTTATAGGGGCCAGCAGGTGACGTGAAAGTTAAGGCACTGTATCCCACATGGTCAGCTGTGTGGGTCAAGTCCTGAACTCAGTGAAGTGAAAGTCGCGCCAGGAGTGTGTGCATGCCTAAGATCCCGAGAGGAGAATGGAAGGGAAGGGATTACAGTGTGGCCATCCCCTCTGGGATGATTTCTCACTTTCCCTCTCTCTCTGTCCCGGGTAAGTACACACATCTCATGGCAAAAACTCTAAAACAAAACAAACACTCCTTATAGTGACCAAATCTTCCCAGACCTAACCTGGCATACAGGAGAAATTCTAACATAGACCACACCAGTTAGCGTGGCTCAGGACCAGGGTTGTCTGGATTCATTGTTTCCTGTCTTTGTCCCCAAGATGGCATCTGTACCAGGTAGCCCATCTGTACCAGGGAGCACCACTCAACAACTCTGCTCTCAACAACACGAATGAGCCCCAGTGGAGGCAGCCAGGCTCGAAACACAACACCTGCGTGATTCCATGGCATTCTGGAAAAGAGCAATCCATACAGATAAGCCAGCTCTGTAGTTGCCAGGGGCTGGAGGTGGGGGAGAGCTCACGGAGGCGAATGAGAACACTGGGGTTGGGGCGACAGTACTGTCCTACATCCTGACTGTGGCAGAGGTTACACAACTGAATGTACTTGTCAAAATCCACAGGACTTTCCACTAAAAGAGTGCATTTTATTCTGCGGACATCATACCTCATCACTCTTGACTTTAAGTAAAGGAGGGGGACCAGCAGTTAGCGTAATGGCTATGTCGCTGGACTCCCACATGGTCGACCGCGGTTCGTGTCCCGGACCTGGTGGCTTAAAACCCACGTCGGGCACGTGTGCGTGCGTGCCCAAGATCCCGAGAGGAGAATGGAGGAGAAGGGATTGCGGCGTGGCCATTCCCCCGGGGGGGGGGGGGTTTTCTCGCTTTCTATCTCTCTCTGTCTCTCTGGCAAGCAAAAACCTCCCCAATAAACAAACAAAC